TGTGTTTCACGTGAACACATTAGTATGTGCTAGGTGAACTTTTTTGGCATCTGACGACATATTTGCTCTCCAGGTGTGCACATGTATGCGCTCCAGAAAACGCATGATTGTTTTCGAGGTGCGCGCATGTGTGTGCGATTTAGGTGAGCATTTATGTTTGCTCACGTGTGCGCATATGTGTGTTCCACATGTACACACATGTGTGCTTTAATCGCACACGCGGTGTTCCAGGTGGACACATGTTTGTGTTCCAGTGGTATACATATGTGTGTCCCACGCGTACACACATGTGTGCTTTAATTGCGCGTCTTTGTGTTCCAGGTGAACGCATGTGTGTTCCACGTGTACACACATGTGTGTCTGAATTGGACACGCGTTTCATTTTTTTTTTCTCGGACCTTTTTCCGTCAAGCCGCGGTGAAACAGGGTGAAACACGCGACCGGTCCCTACGCGCCCGGCGCCCAACGGGCGTCGGACAGGACATCGCCCTCCAGCGGCGCGCTGGCGTACGCGTCGCCAACGTCGGTGGGGAGTTGGCAGAGGCTCGCAGCGAACGCTCCCTGCGCTGCGACTGCGAGCATCTGCCCCCACCGGCGCCTGTACGCGGCTGCGACCGCCGTGCGCTGCGCCGCGGGGCTGGCGAGAGCTCGGCCCTGCGCGATGCGGTGGAGGAAGGCCTCAGTCTCCTCGCCCCATCTCCCTCCAACTTCGAGGGCCAGCACCGTCAGGCGACACCGCCGGGCTCGCTGAAACTCCGGGTAGGTTACCCGATGCTTGCGCTCGGCAGCGGTTCGCAAGGCGAGGCCGGGCTCGTGGTCGGCGCGAGATCGGCTGCTCCCGTCTCGCCGCAGCGGGCTGACGAGCGTCACATCAACCGCTACCTGCACGCCTCCAAAGGCCGGGAGTCCATGCGCGACGACCTCGAGCCGGCGCCCGTCGGTCAATGGCAGCCCGAGGTTCAAGTCGCGGAGGAAGACGTTGGTCGCGACCCGAGCTCCCGCCTCCCGGCAGATGCGCGCCGCAGCGCGCTCCAGGGGGCAAGCGCGGCGGACCAGCACACCGGCTGTGGGGCAGGCTGCCCTGTGGTCTCCGAGCTCGTCGAGGGCGCCACCGCAGCGGCAGGCTCGGGCTTCAAGTGGCAGTGGGAGGCGCAGGCGCCGCAGGAGCACGCAGCGGAAGGTGTCATCCTGCAGCGTGAACTCCTCGCGTGTTGGCAGCGCCGTGAGAGCGAGGCTGCCGCCTGGCCCAGCCTGGGAGAGCAGCAAAGCCCGAGACGCTCCGTCAAGGTCAGAAAGGAGCGTCTCAAGGGCCCGCTGATCCAGGCTGGCACAAGCTGCTTGTTGCCATCCCCGTGCCGCGTCGCCGAAATGGCTCGCCTCACCGGTGGCGAGCCCGTCCGCGAGGGCCGTCCACGGCGGCGCGTGGAATCCCGCTAGGCGCAGAGCAGCCTCAGCCTGGGCCGCCGCCCGCGTCGAAGGCGCGGCGGAGGCGCCCCGCGGATCGGCCAAGCCCATCAGCATCCGCGCGAGCACGCGCGGGTGCCGCTCGCCTATCACCGGCATGGCGTCCGCCCAGGAGGCCCAATAGGCCGCGGCCCGGGACGCCGCAGCAGATCGGAGGCCAAGGCCGCCATACCGGAGTGGCAGCTGCGCACGCCTGGCCTGTAGCTGGGAAAGTTCGAAGGGCTCGTCCGTGCCGCTGAGCAAGCGCCCCAGGCAGCGGGCAATGGCCCGGTCGTGGGACTCGGCGAACTCTCCCGTGTCAGCGGGCGGCAGTACGCGGAGCAAGTAATTGCTCCGAGGCTGCGCGCAGAGGAGCAGGAGGAGCCAGGCGCTCTGCAGGTGTGGCACCGTGGGAATGCGACCCAAGAGTTCGTCGTGCTTCTCTCTGACACGTCGCAGCGCTCCCGCGATGTACGCGGCATGCCCCAGCGGCGTGCCCAGGACTGTGATGCCCTGCTGGGCTGGTGGCCTCGCCCAACTCCCTGCCCAAGCGTCAGCGCGCGCGGCGGCGGGGAGCGCATCCAGTAGTGCACTGGGTTCCTCGCCCGCGGCATTCCATGCCCGCGTCTTGCCCACGGATGTTCGCGCGCTCCCAGAGCGCTGTGCCGAGGGCCGTAAAGGCGGGCCCGGCACGCTCGGGCTGGCAAGTGACATAGATATCGTCCAAGTACGCGTACAAGTCCTCCCCCGGGGTTAAAGCCGCGTGCGCTTGGAGCAGTGCGGGATGCTGCCCCAGCGCGTATAGGGCGGGCATTAGGGGATCCCCCTGCTCGCCTCCCTCGCCTTGTGCGATCTCGTGCGCGGCACCCTCGGCGTCGTAGAAGACGTAGGTGCTCGGCTCAGCGTAAAACTGGGCCACGAAGGGGAGTAGCGCCGTGAGGTTGGGCGTGTGCTGCAAGCCGCTCAACATGCTCGCGCGCGAGATGTGGTCGTAGGCCCCGACCCCGTCTATGCTGAGGACCGTGGTGCGGGCGTCGAGCTCGGTGGCTGCGCGCACCGCGCGTGCGAGGGACTCAGCCCCCGCTCGGGTCCGCAGGGCATACTGGAATGGCGCGCAAGCGGCTTGGAAAGCTCCAGCATACTGCTGGGCCAGCGTGCGGGCCACCAGCCGGCGGAACGCGTCGCTCATGACAAGTCCCCGCACCCCGCCGTCCGGCTTCCGCAGGCCCACCATCCTCCCTAAGCGCACGCCGGCCAGCACGTCGGCCGGCACATCGGCGTTGGCCAGCCGCTCTGCCGCTCGGAGCAGCAAGTCGGCGCTGGCTTCGTCGTCCGCGAGCACACGGAGGTGTTCCGCTGTACATCCGGACGGCCCAGCTGCGGCCCCCCTGCGTCCACTGCGCACGTTGCGCAGGAACCTCTGCGAGTTGAGAGCCAAGGGGTCGCGCGGGTGGCTGGAGCGGAAGTCCGGCGGCAGCGGCACCTGGCGTGTAGGCGGCCGTCGCTCCGGGTCACGCAGGGCGGCCAAGGTCTCCAGCGACGCAGGTGCCATCGGCATTGCTGTCAGGGCGGCGCTGGCTGCAGAGAGCTCCCCCAAGTGGGCGAGCGCCGCCGCTCTCTCCGCGCGCCGCTGCGCATCGTCGTCCGCTGCGTTGGCGCGTGACGGGCCAGGCACGTCGCTGCCGGCCGCCGCCTCTGCGGCGGCGTCAAGTAGGTCGCGGCACTGCCCCGCGGCGAGCAGCTCTACCCGCTTGTCTAGCTCCGCGCGTGGCACGCGCGTTTCCCCACGCCCGCGATATAGCAACATGCGCGGGGCGAGGAGGAAGAGCTTCCAGCCTTCCGCTGAGCTCGGGTCTCGCTGTACCTCGGTCAGGCCGGCGGTCAGCGCGGCCTTCAGGGCACCGCGCATTGGGCCGGGAGGCGACTGCAGCGTGTAGACTCTCCTGCGCAACTCGTGCGCCAAGTCGACCTCTCGCATGGCTTGGAGAGGGTCGCGCTGCTCGCCGGCGCTCGGTGGGGCCGGGGGGGCGACTGCGTTTGCCGGCGCTGCCCGCGCGTCGGCTTCGCCCTCTGCGCGCCTCTGGCGGCGCGGGCGTCTGCGGCGGCGTGGGGCGGCAAGCCGGGCCGCCGCTGCAACCGCCGCATCGTCCCGGGGCGCCAGCGCCGCTGGTCCAGGGCACGGCATTCTGCTGGCGAGGTCGGCTCCCGCACTTGCAGCGTCCGCCGTTCCTGCAATCTCCGCAGCGAGGCTGGCTCCGCCGTACAGCTGCAGCAGCGCTTCCTGGAAGGGCGCCAGCAAGTAGCCATCCGGGGCCTGGCAGCGCGCCACAAGTAGCGGGAGGCTGCAAGGCGCGTCGCCCCGCATGCCTTCAAACGCTTCGTGGGGCCACCATTGCACGGGCCTCGCATCCAGTGCCTGGTGCAGTGATACGGCTGCGCGGGCCTGGTCCAGCGCGACAGGGGGCGCGCCGCGCAGCTGCGCGAGCCAGCTCCCCCAATGCGCGCCGAGCACAGCATGGCTCCGCCACGCGGCGGACGCGGCCACTTGGAGTTGGCCGGCCGCGTCCAGCAGTAAGGGCACAAACAACCAGGACCGGGGAGCGTTTTGGGCTGGCAGGTGCTGCGGCGGCCCGCGGCGTGTCCAGGACGCCGGCGCGACGCCTTCCACCGATGACGGGGGCGTGTCCGTTCCACTGCCCACCGGCCGCCCAGCGTGGGCTCTGCCACCACACGGGCGCTCCTCGCCGGCCCGTGGCGTGTAGAACTCGACGTTCTCGGTCGGGTTCAGGCCCATCTGCGCCAGTGCGTGAAGGGCGCGCTCGCGCCGCCCTGGCGCACATGTGTGTTCCACGTGAACGCATTAGCGTGTCGTAAGTGAACACATATGTGCGTTCCACGTTTGCACATGTGTGTGTGTGCTTTCCAAGAAGCACATGTTTGTTTTCCAGCTCAACACATTTATGCGTGTGCTGCAGGTGAATGTATACTGTTTCAGTCGTATACGTATGTGTGTTCCACGTGTACACACATGTGTGTCTGAATTGGACATGTGTGTTTGAACTGCCCATGTGACTGCGTGCTTGCGCGGCCACACTTGCGTTCACGCGCGCGCGCTCGCCCGCCATCGCGCGCGCTTGCCCAACCTCAGTTCTGGCGCGGTGCTGAAGCGCGAAGCACGCCAGCAACACACGTGCAGCAACGCAACGCGCGCCAGGTTCACGACTGCATCATTTTGATTCATCCGTGTTGAAGCGCAGAAAGCCACAAGCTGTTGGCATGTTTGTGCTCGCCCGTCAGCCCTCAACTGTTTGGGGTCTCTGCTGGTGTAATTTTTTCAGCGGGCTGCATGTGCAATATGGGCAACCCCTCCCAAAGCCATGCACAAGAGTTCTGCATGGTTCTTTCTTTCTTCTGGGTGCATGCGCCACCTGTTCATGAATCAAAGAACCATGGCAGCTGGGTGGTCAAGGGTTCCAGGATGCTCCAGTCCAGGCAAACTTAAGACAGACCAGCGCATCACCCAAGGTTGGCCATTCCCAAGACCCTGAGGCCCCCACGCTCGTCGCACGGCCTTGGAGGGAACTGCAAGCAGTTCCTTCAGCTGGCCGATCGGAAACTCAGGGAAGCCAACAATATGTCCACGTTTGCAAGAACCATGAAAAACGCAAACTTGTGACGCAGCGGTCTTCCCGGCTGAAAAGGTGCGCAAGTACATCTCAAGCTGGTTCATCAAACTCTGCTCTGGATGCTTCAGCACTACCTCCTCATACTGAGATAAGTTCTGGCACTCTTCAGCTGCAGCTGAAGCAGTGCAATCTGAGGCCGCTTCAGGCAATTCTGCATGTCCACGCAAGCTTGCACTTCAAGGCATCGCATTACTCAATGTAGAAACACAAGCTTGCATAAGCTGGAGGGCCTTTGCTTCTTTTCTTCTCAGCACTTTCCTCTTTCCGTCTGCGAAGACCAAGCCCGCTGGGAGCCCGGGCATAGGTGCAGGAGCAGGCACAGTGTAGATTTGACGTAGGGCCCGACCAGCCGTGGTGTCCAAACCTTGCGCATGCAGCCAACCGCCGCAAGGAGTAGCTGCTTTGCCCCCAGCCATGGATTCGCCGAAAACAGTGCAGTGGAGTCGGAAAGCTTGGGAGCTGAAAAGTCAGGCGGGGGGGTTTAAATGCAGGACACTGTTTGGCTATGACCCGGATCCGTCATGCAAGCGAAGTCTTGACTTGAGCACCGGCAACATAGCATGTGCGATGCAACCAAAGCAACCCATCGTGAGCCCCAACTGTCGGAACAATTTCTTCACTGTTTCGGGCCCGCGCCGAACTTCCGCCAAAGATCCGTGTTGTCCACATCCTGCGAGGAATTTGAGTGAGCCGTGCTTTCAGCAAGATGCTGCGTGACGGAGCTGAGGTCCGCACCCTCCTCCAGCCCTCCCTGTCATCCACTGGCTTTGGCTTCTTCGTTTCTGGGCGCGGGATCTCATGGCCAGGGGACAAAACATCTTCACCGATCTTACGTTTGAGTCAAGCTGGCATGACCTTAATCCCTTCATAGGAAAAAATACGGACCACCCCCATCCCCCTACTGATGACACATCGCCTGGGAAAATATGCCTACCCAGGAAATTCACTTGTGAGGTCTCCCCACTACCAGGAAAGGAACCACTATTCTCAGGTAGCCGATGCGACGGCAGTTGCGGTTGGCGACAATTTGTTGGTTGATCGCTCGTACTTTCCCAGTTCCAGTTTAGCATTGGGGGCTGGAACATGCAAAACATGCATGTATAGAGTGCATTCTTAATAGGGAAGAAATTAGGTCACCAGTGCCTCGCATGCCTATCACCTCGCTGCGTAACACCATACATGCCGAGGGGTGTCATTATGCAGCTTCTTTGCTCTATCTACATAAGCAGGTAAGTTGCTGCAAGGGAGAGCCAAGAGACTGGCATTCACGAACCAGTTGGCCCTCGCACGCGCCGAACTCCCCTAAGCGACAATAAAGACAAGTGGCTTGGCTTTTTCCTCGACTTGGTGCCTGTCACGCGACCAAAATGGTGGCGAGCGCACCCCTGCAAACAAAAAAGCAGCTGAGATTGCGTCGTAGTGGGGTCGCATTGCCAAGTTTCTTCTTGCTCGCTGTTGCACAATAGCGTCAGCTTGGTGCTATCGCAAGCTGCATTGTCCTTGCTAACTCTCTAACACTGGTTGGTTATAAGTACAGAAGGGCGCCCCACAAGAACCATGCGGAACACAACTCCAAAGCTGCAAACGTTTGTACCATGTTGCCCAGACATGCTCAAAGGACAAACCATCGGAACCATCGGAGTCATGCGCATGTCTCTGCCTTGGGAGCCCTCCGCGGCTGTCAGTCTCGCTTGTGGGCCCCCTGTGAGCAGCGCCACAGTGTGGACATCCCCGATCTGGCGGCTGAGGGGCAAGCCATGGCAAGCCCGAGAAACGGCCTTCAAACCTTTCGGGTTGCAAGACCGCCCCCGGCAAGCAACGAAGTGAGATGGGTGAACGTGGCACTGCATGCATGTATATGCATGTGCTAGGCAGTAGCCAGGAATGCCCAAATCCAAATGCAAACGTAGATGCACCTTGCAGCCAGTAATGCCAGGCCCTTCTATTTTACGTCTCGCATTTCTACCTGCACAAGCTAACCTACACTTGCACATGATGAGGCGAGCCTTTGGAAACGGCAAGAACTGAGGCCACGCAAGCCCTTGTTTGCAAGGCCAAGGAAAGCCAAAACAAGTGGCGTCTTTGACCAAACGCCTTGATGTTCTTCCTCTCCGCCAGCAGCTCCAAAGCAGCCTCAAACTCGAAGAAGTCCTGCCGGATCCCCGAGTAAACAGCCATGCTGTTCGATCCCTTGGTTTCACCCCGGGACCCCGCCGCTCCAGACTTGGTCTCACCAAGGAAATTGGCTTGACAAAATATCGCAAATGGCCGAAACCGTCGGGGTCAAAAAGACCAACCGCTCAAACAGCAAAACTTGGAATGGGCAGTCAACCCAGCAGTTGTTCAACTGAGGCCGGCGCGATGGTGCGGCAACCGGGTGGCTTCACCCTATGGTCGCTGAACACCAACTCCTCAAGCCACATCCAAGGATGGATGTGAAGGGAAGGTTGAGGGGGCATGCCTGGAAAACGATGAGCAAGAGCACCCCCGCTGGTGAACTTGCGCATAAAGCTTCAATATGTTCATGTCAGTGTGGCATGCGGCTCGGGGCAAGGATGCAGTGGCCAGTCGCCAGGACACAGCACCTTGAATCATCTACAAAAAGGCTGGCACACCTGGCGAAGGACTACCTGTTACACACCAAGTACGCACCGCAAGCTCACGGCTGCTGGGCAAGGAAGCCTAGGTGAAAATCAAAGAGACAGCATGCCAAGCACGGACTACGAGGTTGTTTGCCATCTTCACTATACAATAGGTTGGTGACCCCGCCGATTGTCCCCGGATAGGAAGCTCGTACTTGTGCGTTTCAAACACATTCTCGAAATGTCTCTGTATGTTTTCTTCATACATATGTCCACACAAATGGAGAACCGCACGCACACACACACACATTACCGCAATACATAATCATACGTACGTGCAATTTGCACGCCGAGGCTCGGCCACAGCCGGAGGCAGCGTCGAGTCCACAATCTTGCAATTCTTGCAGAACTTGACAAAGTCCTTCATCTCCATCTCCTCAGCACTCGCCGACTTTTCGGCGCAACCACATCCTGTCAAGCTGTTCAGGTTGCGAATCGATAGCAGCTGCAAATTGCAAAAGGAGTCCAAGGACGTGCTGGTCTCGCAACAAGTGCACGGATCAGCGTGAATTCTGCCGAAGTGCGGTCTTTCCAGGACCACAGAACACGTAGAAGACGGCATCCAGGCCATCACTGTCAATCTCAGCATGCAGAATGGTCATTGAAGACTGAAATTTGGGAGCATGGATGCTTGCAGACCTCTGAACTCGCAACAGAAGCGATGTTGATTTTAACAGTCCAAGCAAACACTTGTGTTGATGCCTGATCCGCAAGTACGCCCAATTTGTGTTTGTAAGGACTCAACCCAGGCGAATAATCAAGTCTCCATTTTGCGCGTTTCTCTCTTTTGCCAGCGCCGGGGTTGACTGAGAATCACAGGCCGACGGACAGGTCCGTGCCCCGCTGCTCTAGCACAAAAATCGACATCAGACTCCTCATGCATGACCACAGCAGATCGTGCAACGCTGAGAGCTCATTGCGGGCCAAAGCGGCACCCGCCCCACCCCGCTACCCCCGCGACACTTGGCTGCTGGGCTGGCGCGAGGATGGTCTTACCCTTCATCACCTCTTTGGAGCTGGTGCCGCGCCGCATCCAAGTAGAGAACTCCTGCGGCAGACTCAACGCCAATTGCGATGAGGCTGAGACTGGGAAGCTTGACGTCTTGCCCTTTGCGGACCTAGAGCTGCGCACTTAGCCGTGTGAAAGATCAGGTGCAAAGCACGCAGCGCGTCAGACTGCAGGTCCTTGTAGGAGATGACCCCATCCTGAGCGTACATCCACGCTTATACGCTTTGCGCTCTCCTGAGGACAAATGCCAGGCTTAAGGCAGTTACCTTCGCAGCTTGCTGCATCTCGTTCCCACTAGGTCAAAGCCAGGACCAATACAAACATAGAAGGACATCCTGCTGACGAGCTGCACCGCTGGTGTCCAGGTCCGCGCAAATCCTGCTCACCTCTTCCTGCCAGGCCAAACTGCGGCACCTGAACCACCTAAGGGGAACCTGCTACTGCACCCCACAGGGGCGCAAGGGCACAAGTTGAATGCCATCACATGCTGCTGATTAATAAGTGCCCAAGGGCAGAATGCATGGCGCAATTGTGAGTGGAGTGGGCCTTTCTTTTCTCTTTCCCATTCCTGTGGCAAGCCATTGGCAAGCTGCACAATGCAAACGGACCTAACGAATTGTCAAAGATCTCCTGGTTGAAAAGGAACATCTTGCCCATGGCATTCCGGAGCTCGGAGATGTCCAGCAAGCCATCATGACTAATGTCATACCTTGGATGAGTGGGAAGTGATCATGCCGCGGTCGCTTCACTACTCCCATGCAAGCCCCAGTTGACCGGCTGCATGAGCCTGCAAAACTGGAACATGCGTTCACTCAGTTTCTCCCGTCATGCGCTGCCGGAACTCCGTTCACCACAATGCGATCAACATGCTACAAGTTAGCTGTGAAACGCAGTGCGGGGAGTACGGCCTGCCTGCCCCTCCACCACTGTGGAGCCGCGTGACAAGTCGAAGGCGGACTTCACTCGCTGCTCCCGAGCCGGGCCAGTGACTGCCTTCAGCTTGCTAGCAAGCTTTCCTGGGATGCAAGGAGGACATCTGGCACCATTGGCTCGCAATGACCAATGCACCCCCCCTTTTCACGTTGCAACTGCATTGCGCTCGGCGCAGACAAGCTGTCAGGGTCAAAGCTTCCCGCCCAAAACTTGTTGTTTTGCCGCTCGGGAATTATCTCGTGGACGTTTTGGGCCAAGAGTGGCCTTCCATGGGCCCTTCTGCTTGCGTCCAGACAGCAACCCCTGACGCTTGCACGCGCTGCAGCCAAAACGCTGGCCAAGGGTTGCCCAATCTTCAGCCAAGAAAGGAACTCCTTGTAGGAGACCTGGCTCTTCCCCCAAGCCCAAGACCCTGCGGCAAAATCCCATCGGGTCCAGAACCACCTGCCTCAAACCTACACGCATAGGCCCTGTGTGCCACTTGTGTGCCCAACTCCGCCTCAGGCCCAAGGAGATTGATCAGGCCTCTGCCAGGGAAATCTGAGTTCTTTCATGCTGTGGCTCGCTTTGCCCCACAAGCAAAGACACCATCGCGAAAAACCCCCGTGCTTGGCAGTACTTGGTTCCTCCAAGCATAACCCGCGCTAAAGCAAACTCAACCAAGATCTGGCACTTTGCCCACTTTCATTTCAGGGGGCTTTCTGCCTTGTGGATTCCTGGTTCGATGCTGGTCACCCATGGTCACACTTTGGCGCCTTGCCATCCCCACTGGTGTCTAGCTCGGCCAGCACTCTCCTAGGCGTGTGCAAGCACCAACTCTTGACACGCCAAGCAGCCATCTTTGCATTGTGTCAGGATTATCAGCGTGACGCTGGGGTGGAGCGGGCGGGGTTCTTAGCAACTGGCACTTCAGAGATAAAGGAGCGGCACATGAGTAGCACGACACAGCTTGGAGGGGCGCGATCAAATTTGGAACCTGCCGGGAGATCCGGGGAGGGGGTTGGTGATAAAACATGGCGGGCAGGTGTTGCTTCAAAACCTATTGGAACCCAGACACGAGCTGGGTCCTCCCTTCCAAGCTTCGAATCAGCTTGCAAAGTTGGGAGAAGGGGCGACTTTGGTGGAAATTGTTGGGAGCGTACGAGCGTGGCCGGGGGATATGGGGTGGATGGAAGCTAATCATGACTCAGATCTGCCCAAGGTTGCCATCTCTGGCGTTTCCGTGCTTTCAAAATGCAATGGATGGCACCAGAAAATTCCTCTCCAAGAACTCGGCGACCACGGACAAGGAATCAAAGAACAGCACCAGCTTCCCCAAGCACTCTCCAAGAAAAGCTGCCCTGCTTCCATGGCTCTGGATCTCTTGCGTGGTAATCTCCGAGTCGAGAACTCGGAGCACCTGTCGCAAGCCACAAATTTCAGCAATGCCTGCCTGACAGTCATCCTGGCGCTTCACTGCATAGCAAAACAACTCTAGACTCTAGATGTATGGTTGGAAAGCATATTGGCTTCTGGCTTTCCAGTGCTTCCCAGAAAATTGAGGTCTACGCCTGGGCGAGGTGACATTAGCCCTGGGGCTCTTTCAGCTTTGCAGCCATGCCTACTGCTACTGTATACCGCTGTTTCCTTGTGGAAACTGCTTTTCTAAGTCCTCCTGCGTATTTCACACCGTGTCACTTTCTGGTCCAACAACATCTTTAGGGTGTGGGTTCCTCCATATTGCCTTGGCAGTTCTGGCCTTCATAAGTTCGTGGCGCTCCAGCAGGCCGCTGCCATCCAAGTCATAGCGGTCGAAGATCCTCAGAACCCGCGACGGCACGCGGGCAGCGGCAGTCCACTTTGCGCGAGACAGCTTCCGGCTGGGCCTGTGGCATTGCCGGAATTGTCCTGAACTCCAGAACCGCTCTGCCGACACCAAAATGTGAGCGTGGGTGGTTAAAGGAAAGCCAAAAGGGAACCAACAACCGGGGTTCCCCTCTTTCGAGACAAGCGAAGATGTTGGTTTCAGCCGAGGCGCTCGCAGACGCGGGCGCCCAAGGAGTCCCCAGTGGCCTCCACTACGGAGCGCAGCACCGTGGCCTGCGGCTGCCGCTTGCCTTTCCCCACCAGCCTCGCGAGGATGGGAGCAAAGCCGTGAAGGGGCTGAGGGATAAGAGAAACTTGGGTGAACCGTGTTCTGGTGCTCCATTGTTGAGTTCACAGGGAGGTCCTCCAAATCAGCTTGGCGCTTTTGGCTCAACGGCAAAACCAATGCACATGCGTTCGCTTCGAGGAAGCCTGTGAAAGGTGGCGCCTGCAGGCGTGGAAACGGAATATTGGTGCTCGATGCCAAACACATAGTCATGGCCGGCAACACGCCTAATTAGTCCTCCCCAACTTCCACTCAACTTTGGATCTACTCGCCTGGCTCTGAAAATTGCTGTTTGTTTACGCAGGCCCCAAATGGGCCAGCTGGTTTTTGTCCCGCTGGTTTGGCTTGAGCAAGCCGAGAATCCAGGAGCAGAACTCGGGCGTGGTGAACTTCCCATCGCCGTCCTCTCCATCTATCTCTTTGAGCAGCTTCTCCAACAGCTTGTAGCCTCAGAGCTGAGCCAAAGCCCAGAGGGAAGCAGCCCCGCAACTTGAGAAGTGAAGGGGATCTGAGAATTGTCAAGGAGAACCCTAACAAAGGACTACCCCGCTTCTCTGCCGACCTGGCCCAAGGTGTGGCGGAACCCCTGATTGCCGAAGCGCTGGTGTTCGGAAGCAGGTCGTTGAACATCTTCTGCATCTCTCGCCTGGCTTTGACTGATGAGCTGCATTGAGATGCCTCCCACCCCACCCCACCCGCCCAGCTGCAAAAAGGGTGACTGGAAAGCAATCGCAAAACCCACAAACTGCAAACCTCGCAAAACTTCAAGTGTATCCACCTGTCATCCGCCAGTGAAATGTCGAGAAAAAGGCAACCTGCCAGCTTATGGCGGTTGGAAAGCACGGCAACCATGCTGGTAGTTTGTCTACTGCCCAAGCAATGTGACCGATTTGGTGTGTGTGTGTGTGTTCCTGTGCTTCCGCAACGCTTTCATGGAACAAAGTTGAGGGCGCCATCCACACGCCGTTCAGTGAGCACACACACACACACGCACAAACAAACACTGCACATGTTGCTTCCCGGCCAACTCGACAACACGTCTAGCCAATCGCAATGATATTGCAGATGCCTGCCTGGTGAGGAATGCTCGGCGGTCATCGCTGCGATAACGATCAAACACCTGCATGTTGCACAGCGTCGCACGAAAGGGGCAAACTCGAAGGCGCGGCTTCGCTTACGCGACGCCGCAGGTCTTTCCAATTTTGGCAATGTCTTCAAATCTGTCCCCGGATGTGGCCAATTCAAGCAGGCATTGCGGAACCTGCGACAAGCAAAACAGCTGCTCAACGTGCGTGGGTCAATCATAGTCAACCCACAGTCAATCAGGGGCAGAAAGCCATTCTCGACAGGTCTGCCCTCCTGCGACCTGTTGTAGGCTGAAGGCATTGGGCCTCTTCATTCTTGCGAATTCAGTGTGTTGGCTGCACCTATGTATGGTTTTAACATATTTTGACTCTGACTGATTGTGGCTGATTGGACTTCCTGCCCGGTTTCGGGCTAACTCGAATTCCTCGCCTCCTTGACGCGGCCCGTGAGGTCCTCGAGGTCCGTGGCGCCCTCCAGCGCCATGCCATGCCTCATGGGCGTGCACCCGCCCTGTATCTTCCCACATGGCGACCCAGGCCAACCAGAAGGGCACATAGGCATTCTACCCCTTCAAGGACGCAAACCATCATGTGTAGCAAAGGAGGCTCGCCCGGCGGCCTTGCCCTACATTTGGCATTCAAATTGGTCCATGACGACGACTGTGGAACCTCTCCACTTCTTTCAGTTTGCATCCTGGTACTCCTTTTGTGCGCAACACACATAAGTTCACCCTTGGTGCGCAACGCTTCATGCGGCATGGGTTTGGAAACAAAAGCATCAAGGCCTACTGTTTGGGGCTTTCTTGCCTCTGAAGGGCAAACCTGGGCCTTTAAGGTAGCATCCTCTTTGCAAACTCTTGAGCTTCAGGCCGCAGATTTTGAGAATGCCAACAGATCTGGGTTCCTGACGACTTGCCAGCCCGCGCCGTGTGAAACGCCGGGCTGGCGCACTCCGGCAGGCTGGGCTCGGGATGTCCAGGATGCGATTGCGTGGGCTTTAGTCGCACTTCTGGATGCTTGTGCAAGAGGACCGCAGTAGGCATAGTGACATTGCGACCGATGTCTTGTCCAATGATCCGATCAAATCGATGTAGGTCAGCGGTGGTCAAAGGGCTACAGCTGCTTGACAGCTAAGGCCTCTTAGAGGCTTAGCTGAACACTTTCGGCCTGAGCCCAAATGATCCGAGCCAGCCTTGCCAAAAAGCATACGAAAAGCACATGTTTTTTTGGCATGCTGGTGCCTCGCATGTCAGGCTGGATTCATGTGCACCCCTACTTAATCATCAAACCTGGCCTATTGATTTCGGTAGGTCGAGGCCCAGGGGTAGCCCAATGCTTGACCACATCCAAATGGCTCCTTCCAAACAAGCACCAGTCAACTAAGTTTGCAAGAGCGATTCTGTCGACAAATGCAATTGTGTAGCATACCCATTTGAGTGAATCTAGAAATCTGTATATCTATATATGTTTGTCCTGCGGTTTACTTTGGACAGGGTCTTGCCAGGACTCGGACCAGGGCACACGCACGAGTGCAGGCGCGCCAGAGTTTCTCCGCGGCTGCACAACTACACGTCGGCTCCTCATAAAGGACTCCAGGAAGCCCTCTCCTGGCTGAGTCAAGCACCCGACAAAACATTCCTACGGAAATGATATCGTATGAACCTGAACATTCAGCAATTGAAGTCGCCAAGCTGAAATGAGGGACCGCGACAAAGAAGCCTCCGTGGGACCTTCATTATGCTTGCAAGATCTTGCAAGTGGCGGGCAGGCAAAGTTGGCGTCAATTGACTTATTCTTGGACCGCTTGCACCTCCAAGCCCCCACCATAGCCTCAACTCACCTCAGAGTGTACCTCTGACATTTGTACAGCGACTAGCACAGCTTGACCCGCCATGCAGAAAGGTTCATAATACTTGTAGGTGAACTCGTGCCGACGCTGACTACAATGCCTACCAAGGGTCTGTCGCAAAGACTGGAACCTTCGAACTGACCGCCTGATTCGTCAATCAAACAAAATGTGAAAGGTATACATGAAGTCTGGACCCAAGATCCAGCTCCCTCTCCGACCCCCTGCCTGCATCAAGCCGGACGCTCGAACTGCGTGAGACCCTTTGCCTGGCATCTTTCGGGCCAAGCTGCTCCGGAAACTTAAGCGGCATGTTCCTACCAAAGACCTCTCATGAAGGCCAAGACCCCCGCCTCATTGGCGTAGTAGTATACGCCAGGCTTGGAGCGAGACTCCTTCTTCACCTCACACTCAGAGAAGCACGCGGAGAGCCCAAAGCAGTAAAACAAGAGGAGCGACTCATGTTTGAACACAGGTTCGACTCATCCACCTACACTAAGTTCATCTTATCGGCGCGCAGGTGTTCAGCACATCTCTTTCGATCACCTCCAATGGGACCAAATTGGTACTTGGCCATGCACAAATTGCAGTTCGTGGGCTTCCCGGCCCAGCCAGGGGGCAGTGTATGCTCGTTCGCTGCATGCTCATGATGAGCCACCTGCGGTTTCTCGACAACCGGGCAGCGTGATAGGCAGTAAACCTCATGCCCGCACAAACTCGGTAAGCACAAATGAATCAAGAAAATCTAGCATGAATTTTGCGGCTGCTTGGCGTACGCTGTGACATCTCGCTTGCAGCCAAGCTTTGCCATACCCAAGGCGGAGGGCCTTATGCTTTGGGCTGCGGCTGCGGTCTTTCTCAGCCTCAGGCGTTGCCTTAGTGAAGACAACTGGCATTGCTGTCTCCGATGTTTTGCTTTCGGTTTGGGGACGGTCCAGCGCAAACAGGTCATGCACAGAATTCACACAGGGGGGGAGCCACACATGTCAATACAATCCGATTCCACAATCATACTCGGGCCAGTGGCCTGTAATTGTGCATCAAGAAGCTTCGGATTGGGCAAGAACATTTTATCTTTCGAGCTTTGGGATCCACCAAGCTCAAAAGTAGCCATTCAGACTATGCTGATGGACTGCAAGCGAATAGGGGGCTTCCAAGCTCCATGGTGAGGGCGACAGGCATCAAACTGTTGCCAGGGACTCTAAGGCTCAAACCTTTGGAGGGCCTGGCAAGACACGCTCAAGTCTAGAGTCTAGGCATAGCCCACCTCAATGTGATGAACGTGGCCGAGCTACTGAAACCGCAACAAAGTTCAAGTGAGTTGCAGTTGCATTGTCCAACATATAGCTCTGCCATGGCAGCCTGTGGAGCCGAAAAGGTCGCAGTCGTCATTGGCTTCTTGTTGAGAGCTGCGGCCTGCACTCACTCAAACCCCAAATTCAAACCCAAGGCATCAACGAAGCAACTGAAAACCACTCTCCAAGGTCAGGTGCACACAGATTTGCATCCTTTCTGGATGGCCATGCTCACACTGGTCACTTGGCCACACCTAGTTGGCCTGTCGCTGAGGCCCGGGCCGAACTCAGCGAGGAATGTGACTACAGGCACCCGCACTGGGTGAATCAAAGAACCTCACAGCCGGATTTGGGGATTAGACTGTGGATGTGTTGGGGGCAAGTGGCTTTGGAGTCAAGGCATGCTTGCAACTCGCCAGATGTGAACAAATGATGCACAAATGATATATATATATATATATATACCCTTCCTCCAACTAACATGGCACCTGTGGGGAGGTACCTGGAAGACTCATGTCCTTTTGAGGGGAGCGCCTGTCAGTTGCCATGTTGGTTGGAGGGAGGGGGTCTATATATATATATATATGTATGCCATGAGATTGCAGGCTACCAGCATGCCTATACCTCTCCTGCTCCCAACAAGCCAAAAAGAACACGGTGACCATTGGTGCGTCGCGTTGCAGTTTGTTGTGGCTTCGGCCTAGCTTGTAGCGCATCCACTCACCGAGCAAGGTCTTTGGCCTTCCAAATCGCAGAAAGCGGGGCTCCCGCCTTCAAAGTAGCCATGGATGAGCAGCTTGCCATCTAAGACCTTCCGGAGGCCCAACGGATGGCTACAAGGAGCCCAAACACCCAGAGAAACAGAAGTCGCAAGGGTGCATACATGTTGTGCTGTAAGGTTCATCATGCTCATCAATGGGCCATATGAAACCAATGCCTTCCACCATGGATGTTCCCAAGTAACTATGACACACCATAAGCAAAAGCATCAGTATGAGTAAACTTGTCAAACATCTTTTGGTCTCTGGGTCCGCACCATGCGTGCCCAGCTGCGCCTGCACAGCAACTTTCATGCCGTCCTGGCAGCTCCGAGCGCTCACGCCAAGGAAGCAAAGGATCCTTGTTGGGTGCATCCTGGCAAGAACGTGCCCTCAGAGCGGCCCTTCAACCCAAAGCAAGGCTGGAAGGTTTAGCCGAGCTGGTCGACAGCTCAAGCACCAGTTGCTCCTCAAACACGCTTGTGCAAGCGTCAAGCATGCCATCGTGCCTCACCCAGTCTGTACGTACCTCGGCGAGTGACTAGCGGCCAGGAGCAAGGACAAGGAGTGGTTTGAGTAGCTATTGTCTCCTGGTGGTGTGATTGTTGGCAATGTGGTGCCTTGGACAAACCTGTGCACAAATGAGAGTGGTTGGTTTGTGGTCACAGGAAG